ACCTCCGGATTCAGGGCCACATGTAAGCATTCATGAGTGTAGCAGGATGTAATTGATAGGAGGGTGGGAGCTATTTATAAACTAGCAATTTGGGGACAGCACTGGACAAATTACCAGTAAATTCGTTTAAAATTTAAATTTGTTATGCGGTGCTGGGCGGAAGATAAAATTACAAGGCGGATGTATTTAATAGCTGACAGATTCAGGAACAAAGTGGGGGTCCTTGATTGATAGGGAAGAGCTATTTATAAGCTAGCAACCTTGGAGTCACACTGGAAAAATGTTATCTTGGATATGAAAAATATGGAAATTATAAAAAGTCATATAAAGTAGAGTTTGGGTAAAAGTATAGCTTATGAATTCAGTTCGTATTTTGCAATTTCAAGTGATTAGATACAATTGCTTTTTATAAAATCTCTATTAGTCTAAGATAAAATATTATCATGAATTTATAAGAAAAACTTACGGTCAACCAAAGTTCCCTTAAAAATATTCAAATCCTATTGCCCAGAACAGGATACATTTTTTTCGGTACCCAAAACATGCTATACCATGACAGCCCACGCCTAGGCATTTTGGGGTTTAATTTGACAGGCTAACAAATGCAAAGCGGCGTTTTCCAAAACAAAAATAAATGCGGCACGTCAAGTCAGTTCCTTGTCAATGGCCGCCGGGCGAATGAAATTGAAATTCGCCACAGAACATTTTTTGCCGCCTGCTAAACAGATTTGGCCGCGAAATATTAGACATAAAATTGAATTGACTCCAAGTTCTCTCCCGCTGGGGGCAAGTGAAAATGGCTTTGTGTAGGGCTAAAACAAACAAACAGACGTATAATTTGAGGAAAGAGCTCGGGACAAGCGTATAATAAATTCATCAAGACAGCAGGCAGGCAGTCGGTCCGATCGGATCCGATAGTCACGGTCCGGCTTTCCACGCTGCGGTGCAGTTCATCAGTTGTCGAGGGGTCAGAGTGAAACGTAATTGGCCCGCGGCACTTAATTTGATTGAGGAGAGGAGGTGGGGGCCAGAGTGGGAGTGGGAGTTTCTGCTGCCCTCCAGCCGGCACAACCTGTGCCCACATCTCCGACTTGGTCGGTTTTCTTGGCGGGGGCGAACTTCGATGTCAACACAGAGTACAGAGTGAAAGTGAAAAACTCGCCGGCGCAGGAAAAACCAAGGCAGGCAGCAGAGCTTTTCTTTTATGCAATTGTTCGGTGGCGAAAAGGTTCCCAGCCAAATGGCCACAGAATTGTGTATTCTGCCTTATTGAGTTTGAGTCGAACGCGGAGACAAAGGCCAAATAAATCGCCCGGCTTGGGGAAAAGTTTCGTGACGATCTTGGCCAAGTTCGTTGCTAGAGTTGTTCGTCTCTGCACGGAGAGAAAAGTCCTTGTTTAGTCTAGTTAAAAATGGTGTAGTTTTCGAACACCCGTTGCTTTGTTTTGACATGTTTTGATATTTCATTCCAAAGGTTTAAGGATTTCAATGAATCATAAGAGATCATCATTTTAAAGCCTTAAGAATATTGGGACTATGCTTATTTGCTGTCTTAAATAAAGTAAGCATATTGCATAGCTTTGGCAAATATATTGATGAACCACTGAAAAAATTAAAATAAACCTTTAGAAATATTAATAACAGTTTTATATTATCAGCAAAAACACCTCTTAACTATGTTAAAAACAGTGACGATCGCACCTTTAACATAAAAAAGGTCTGATATCAACTTTTGTGACGAAATATAATTTTAAATTGAGTATATGAATAAGTTACCTAAAATTTACTCAATCAGCCAATTTCCATATTTCGTTAAGGAATATGACAAATTTAAAAAGTCGATTTATTTTGCAGCATCGGTCTCCCTAGATGAAATAAAAAATAACTTGTTCAACTCCCACCGCAATTCTCCTAAACCAATCGAATAGCTAAAGGTCTTAGAATCATAAATTAAGGAAAGTTACGCAACCTTTTGACCTCTGTAATACTTGTTTCGATCGGACTGTCGTAGCAGATTTTTAATTTTCCGGCTATATATAGTGGTATCCACGCGCACACTTCCGGTGCGATTCGTCACTACGTGCGCTGTCGTCTACGATGAAAGCCTTAAAAAAAGAGGGTAAAATACTTATTTACCGGCTTAAATTTAGCAAAATAAGTGTGTATATTTTTAGAAAAATATTATAACATTTATAAATTTTTAGCGTATTGCTATATATATATCGTTAAATATAAACTTCAAGCACTGGGAAAAATCTAAGGCCAATCACAAATGGTACATTTATTATAACTATATCCAACCCAAATCTTACCCAATTTTTTGTCTAGGTTGCTACGATTTTTTGTTATCGTTAGCAAGAACTTGCTCTTGATATTAGAACCATTTTTCTCGGTGTAGGCACCGCAATTGGCTTCGATCACTAAGCGTTCGGTTGTTTGCTCGCTGTTAACACAAAATGCCAATTACTGCAAATTGTGGGCTGCTGCAGTTGGCCCGGTGATTTTGGCCTATTAGCAGTGGATAGTCGAAAGTCGGATTGCGTGTGAGCCAAACGTGAATTATCATAAATTATCGCCGGCGGATTATGCAGCGGCAAGTGCTTTTGCATTTTTGAATTCCCATTCGCAGAATGCGGTGTTTGTCCTCCGGCTGGCTATGTAGAACGAGCCGAAACTTATGCAGAGGTATGCACTTTCCCGCTAGAAAAGAAAAACACTTTTCGTGTCCGACTATCCGCGGCGTGTTCCGTAGCGATAAAATTGCAAATCCCATCATTAGATGTTCGTCAGCGAGGCTTTTTTAATTAATATTTCATAAATGAGAAGCGCCGAGCATAAATTATGCATAAGCCACCGTGGAGGTGTTGCCCCGCTTGTTGTTTCAGGTGCTACACTTGGCGAAATGTACGTGCCACACTTTCTCCTTTCTCCGGGCAGCCCGAAAGTATGCATTAATTTGGCTGAGTTACCTGGAAGAAAAGCTACCTTTTTCTCAATGAAATACAATTAAACTTTAAGCTGGCATTCTGCTTGCGTTCATGTTTATACAATCAGCCTAGTCCTTAATCCCTCCTCATATGTAATTGCAAAAATTGACTACGTGTCAAGCAAATAGGATTAAACTCTTAACACACAAGGCGGTAAATAAACAAAGCGTATTTTTATGGGCATGTAAATTGATATAAAAATCGAATTAAGCCTTTTTTGCGTTTGGACCAAAAATCGAAGACAACGGTATAAAACCCTTTATGACTAACTTGGCTTGCTAAATTGGATTACAATTGTGGTGTTCAGAGCCCAAGGGGCTTAATCACTATTTCATGTCAATATAACTAGTATTAACTCAGGTCAAGTTTGAAGAAATAAACCCTTCTACACAATTTTAAATAATTTTGTTTAAGATAAAAATTGTAGTTTACAAGATTTTTGAAACTTAAAAACAATCTTAAACATTTATATTATTTTACTTCTGCAAAGCTTTTTATAGTCTCTCAGCTTTATATCTATCGGTATAAAAAATCAAAAAGTATTCTTTAAGATACAGTTCTATATTCCATATTATTTGGAAGGAACGGAATAATAAGGGAATACTCTGCTACGAAACTCCGAAATGAATGTTTTTTTAATCGGACAGCTAGATATATAATTTAACATTAATTTTTGATCATATTATCTCTTATTCTAAGGTGTAGCATTTTTTTTAGATTTTAGAATGTTTAATTTAATATTATAAAAATTTGACGATTGTATCATTCAGTTCTCATAGGAACTAATGGTAGTTTCTGTAATAAATCTATACTTTGAATAGCATGATATCTGAAAGGTAATATAGACAAAAGCTTGCCAGATGTAGCTTTATAACTTGGTTAAAATTTAATGATTATTATACTATAACTGTAAAATGTTAATACAAGCTTATGAATATGTATTAAAACAAATTCGACTCGTTGGGAAATTATACCATTCAACATCCTTCACGACACGCTAATTTCATGCTTTCTTCACGCAATTCGCAAGTCAGGGTACGGTGTGCCTAATGCAGCTCGTACCAGGATAATTCGTGGCTGCCACTTTCATTAACTTTCCTGCTGCCGGCGACACATCTGGCTGGGATTCTATAATTTTCCAGCCAATCAGCATTCATTTCGGTTTCGATGCGCTTGCCTAATAAATATGTATGCCCAAATCTTTGCGTGTGCAATCGAAAGCCCAGGCTTGGAGAAGATCTCGGCTCTCGCCTCGGTTTCACAGCTTACCGATGAAAGTGGGCGTCGAAGGTGGTGCAAAAAATCATTAAGCCGGGCCACCGATATAAAGACTGGAATAATTGCCGAGATCTGCTAATTACGGCAGCCAGCCTGCCGGTTGCACTAAATCTGCAGCGAAGCTTTGCTTTAGTGCCTGGCTTAGAGCCAGTTTCCAGCTGCCAACTGCACTCATCATGCATACTACGCTCTGAATAGCCACCAGCTATTGTTGCACTTAGAAAAATGTACCGGAAACGTGAAATATAGGTGATCATAGTGCAAAGAAGTTCCTTCAGAAAATGAACTTTTTTATTAAAGTATCCTAAGTTCCTACAGATTTACTTATAGATGTAATGAAAGCACAGGTAGATGTGTATTATTTTAACAACCTTTGGTCTGGTGGCTTAATTCTTCTCAATGTATTTAAATTAGAACTTGTATTTAAAATTTTTAAAATTTTGGTATGTTTTTTTTAGTTTATTTTAAAATATTAATAAGCTTACATGTTAGAAAAAAATGTGTAAAGTTTAGGCAACTCTTTCAGAAAGGTTCGAATTTTTTTAAGCCATTTACCAGTATTACAAGTCTTAGGAGCTACTACTTTTCACACCTTTTTTCCAGTGCACTGGTGCTTGGAAGAAAAGCAAAACCAGCGGCAACGGCTGCCTGGCTAATTGTGGCAAGGTGAAGTGTATAAATTCGGCGGACAAACTGGCGCACAAGATCAGTTGGCCAAGAGATTTCCCAGCAGCTGCAGCTGGACGGCATTGAGAGAACAACGAGAGTGATATCACAAGGATTGGGGATACGCACAGAATGGATTCGCGTCTGGGTCTGCTCATCGCCCTGCTGCTGGCGGCCTTTCAGGCCTGGGCCCTGGAAGCCTCGGCGCACTCGAATTCGAGCTCCACGGAGAGCGGCATTCTGCGGACAGTGCGTCATGTCTACGGGCAGTGTGCGGATAGCGAGGACATCTTCTGGTGCTGCAAGATCCAGGGGGTTCGCCTCCTGGGCCGCGCCCTGAAGGTCCAACAGCTGGGGATCGTGGATGGCGTGAGCTTGGTGCGGCGGGAGTCCTTTAGCCAGGATACGCGTAGTGGTCGCTCCAGCCTGGCCGAAAGCCAGCTTAGCAATCGCGACCTGGAGCACATGTCTGGAAAGAGTCTGGACGCCCTGCTGCTGGAGCGGTTCCTCAACTTTGTCCACAGCCACCAGCTGCAGGTGAACCTACCTCGATTGCTGAGGTTCGGCGAGCGAAATGGCCAGGACTGGCTGCAGCACCTGCTCGGCTACTTTCTGCCAGCCAGCGAAAGTGAGGGTCGCAAGAAGAAGGATGACAAGAAGTATCTGGGACCCTTCATCGCCGCCGTTCTGCTAAAGACAGCCATTCTGAAAATGGCCTACCACTCGATCGCCATTGTGGCGGGAAAGGCGCTGATTGTGGGCAAGATAGCCCTGATCATTAGTGCAATAATTGGCCTGAAGAAACTCGTTGGTCACGACGGCGGCGAGAAGACCACCTACGAGATCGTCAAGCATCCGCAGGTGCAGCAGAGCCACACCTACTCCTCCAGCCACCAGGGCGAGTACGACACGGGCGGCCACGACGGAGGATCCTACCACCGCAGCATCGACGACGAGATGATGATGCAGGACAAGGCCTACCAGGCCTGGATGCCCCACGTGGGCGCCTCTGCCACGCCCGCCGCCAAGGGGTCCCGATAAGGCTATCGGGAAGGTCCTTCCGGGGTCGGAAGCTCTACAACCAAAGATCCCAAGAACCCCGCTTAGTCCAATCTATTTGAATTTGTATTTACACTCGACAGCCCTCCAGTTTAAGTTTAGTTATCGTAGTTATTATGTTACCAAAAAGCGAGCATTAAAAAGAATAGAATTTCAGGTGCAATTTGTTTTTGTGGTCGGTTTTGGGGTCTGCGAGTAGAAAATAAGTTAGTAGTTTTAGAAGGAAGCGATTCTGACTCCATAAAGTATAAAATATATATTGTTGTATTCTCAATTTATCCGTAAGCCAGACGGTTATATGTATGTGAGCAATTAAGCACAGCACAGATATTCATGTGCCTCGACTTTCAGATACCAGTTCTTCATCTAAGGGGAGCGCAAAGGAGATGGAGATAAGAAAGCAACAAAGTGACTTTTTCGAGATTGCAGCTATATTTGGCATTCTTTTTCATGAGATATATCATATCATATTTTCAGAACTAGCAGCTTTACCTTAATGTCTAAAGGAAACCCCTCGTGGGTTTGGTGGCCTCCGGGCGTGGCTGTTGTGGGTCAGTCACCGCCTGATGCAGGCGGCGCTTCAGTGGCTCCATCTGGTAGGCCTGGTAGAACTCCATCTGGTGCTCCACTGGAGGTTCTTCGACCTGCTCCAGCTGCGAGGATGCGTAGTCGTGGGTGGGCATGCTGCGGTGCCAGCCGCTCTCGTGACTGGAGTGAACCACCACGTGCTCCGTCCCTCCGCCACCGCCACTACCACTGTGTCCAGTCGAACCCTTTTTTAGACTGCCCTGCGGAGAGAAGCGTAGCGCCAACAATTTGGACGGAACTGTTCTAGGGACAGATTCTACTCACCAGCAAGGAGATGACCAGGGCGATCTTGGCCATGATGAAGGCCGAGCCGGCGATGAGGATGACCTTGCCTAGGAACATTTGGGCCAGGGTGGCCATCATGATCATGCCGCCCATCATGGCCATGTGCTTGTCTTTGTCCTTCTTTTTGCGACCTGTTTTTTTGGAGCAGTTTTTATTTTTCTTTTTATACTTGTCTTTCTTTTTCTTTTTTTTCTTAGATTTTTTCTTTTTTTTAGACTTTTTCTTAGGTTTTTTCTTTTTAGACTTCTTTTTCTTTTTCTTCTGCTTATCCTTATCTTTATCTTTATCATAGGTGGTTGCATGCACTTCGAAACTACTAAATCCTCCTATAAACTTATCCACTTTATCATCTACGCTCCAATAACTACCTTGATCGAAGCCCAGTTCGCTCCCAAAGTCATCGATGGCATTGGAAATGGTCAACTGCCGTGGTAGCTTAAGTCGAAGAGCTCTTCCCCGGACCAACTCCATTAGCTTTCCGGGTATGCCAGTATCCATGCGCCTCCTTTCCTGCTCGGTAAATCCGGTCTGAGGTTCGATGCTCAGGTACTCGCTGATCTGCCAGGTGCTGTTATCCCTGGTGGCTCCATCCAGCAATCGCTCGCTTTCGGAACCCAGGCACTCCCAGACCTCCAAGCCACCCATGCAGTGGGCTATAATCCTGCCCAGACTTCGGGGACTCCATTGGGAGGAGGGCGTTTCGGCAGCAGTTTCATTTCCTTTATGACTTAAAGCCAGGGCCGAATGGCCCAGCATTACGCACTGTAGCAAAAGCACACGCCACATATTCCCTTACTGCGTATAATGAAACCTCTTTAAGCGCTTCTTGAACCAAAAATAACCCAAAAAGTGGCTCTGCCCTGTTATTTATAATGCCTTGATCTTTTTCGGGGGTAGCAATTAACGCGCTTGTCAAAGCACGACACTGCTCTCTTGATAGGAATCAAATAGAAATGTTTTTAGAAGTTTGCTCGCTGAACCCTGACCCAACGAAAACTGAAACCGAATTATTCGGTTAAGTTAACTTTCATTTTTGGAAAGCACCCACTATGTTTGGCTAATTACAGCTTATGTGCACGCTGAGAAAACTATCAAAAAACGTAATGTTGCAAAAAAACCATACATACAACCTATTTAATTAAATTTAAGGTCAATTAACAGCTGTTATTTTTGGACGTAATTTATTTTAAAATTTTACAAATATGTGCGCCAAGACATATTTTCAATAACAAAACAATAGCTTTAAGAAAATGGTTAGATGCAAATAAAAAGTTCATCATTTTGAAATGCATATAAATATATATATAGTATAGTATTTATTTATAAATATTTAGTTTCTTGTACTAGAAAATTAAAGTAATTTGTTCTAGTATTGACTTTTGCTTTGTGTATTAAATTAAAGGCATATAGTCTTATATGGAAAAAGAAAAGAGTCTCTTATTCTTATTTACTAAAGTATTTAAGCTATTATTAAATACCCGTTATAACGAATTTTTTAGGTTTTTATACAAAAGTTAGGCTTTTCGTTGAGTGTAAATTATGCTCTACAGCGATCTCACGTCCACCGCCTGCCAGCCCGCCATTCCGTGGGGATCCTGAAAGTTTCTCATCAGAAGTTCGCCATCCTGCTCCACACTGGCTGCCAATAGTTTGTTACTTGGCCTGCGCTGGTTCTCAAAGTCGTAGAAACGGTCTGGGGTGGTTGGTTTAGGGTTGGTTTGTGGGGCAGCGACAGGCGTTTCTGCCCCTCGAGGTTGCTCGAACCTCACCTTCCGCTCAGTGCGACGATATGGTGACGTCTCGTGAACATCGTACTGGTGGTGCAGCTCATCTTGGCCCTGGCCAAATACAGTAGTTTTTCCAGGAAAATGGCCAATTGGTCGGTGTCCTTGAAAGCCGCCGAAACCAAAGTTCGAGCCGCCAAAGCTGCCGAAGTTAGCGCCTCCAAAACCACCGCCCAAGCCTCCAAAGCTACCGAGTCCCCCCAGCGAACCCATGATTCCACCCAACCCCAAAAAGCTGCTCACGTAAATCGCCAACTTCACCAAAAACAATGATTTCTTGAGCAGTAGACATATGCCGGCAAAAAGCAGGGGAACCAGAGCTACTAGATTGAACTTCAGGCCTAAAAGAAAAGGCAGTAAATACTGCTTGGCCAACACGCGACCTAAAAAGATACAAAAATGTAATAAGGTATGCAATATTAATCAGTATTTCTAATCCCAATCGTTAAAGTATCAAATTTTCATTCGATGCAATGCAATACTTTAAGGGTAAACCGTTTAAATCATTTCAGAAAATGTTATTTCAATGATAAAATATTTTAATATACGATGTTGGTAATTTTTTTCAAAGCAAAAGTGATCTTGAGAATTAAGCCAAAAGTTTGATTTTAAACTTAGCTTTTAAGTACTTTAATTTAACAAATTCGGCTTATCTTTTTATCTTGGCTTTTAAAGGGACTGCAAGAAGACATAAGTTTGCTTAAGACCTACCGGTTGAGGGATCCTCGTATCCAAATTGTCGCTCTCCCTGCCCCGCGCCATCAAGGACGAACTCCGCCACACTGTTCGCATCCGAAGTGGGTCCAATTTTGAACATAAGACCCGGATACAACCCATCCATGTGCCATTCGAGACTTCGTTGGCCCATGACGGCGCCCGCGTTCTCCAGAATGCCGCGAAAGTCCACGGGATCTGTGTCGAGCACATTTGCCAGCGATCTGACTGCGGGCGATTCACTTTTCACAGTCACAAAATCTTCCACGAATCTGATGTTGTCGCTCTCATCCAGTCTCTGGATGAAGTTCAGGGCAGACCGTCCCAGACATTCACTTAGCTTCGGTTTCTGAGTTCCGCGAACACACTGCTTGAACTCCGAACTCATTGCGGAAAAGTCACTGCCAACAACTTGGTGAAAACTGACCAGGAGCAACACAATATCCAGTGGCGACATGATGGTCAGGTGTTTGGATCTTAACTGAGCCCGCTGGCTAACTGACCCCTGGGTTTTATATCCGCCACATCTTGTTATACAATAATCAACTGGTCTTTTGGCCAAATCTGCTCCCATTCAGTAAACGCGCTGCCTTTTTGCACATGGCCCAATAACGGAAATTGTTTTACATCAACGCCAAGTGGCGGCTCTTCGTCTTCGTCTGCTTCTTATTTAAGCCGGCATGGTCATGGTCAGTGCACACGACCCAAAGCAAAAGCTGCGTCGACTTGTGGCCAATTTTTCGCACATCTCGGTTATTATGCAAGGGTTATTGTTATCCCACTGAAATTATGAAATACTCGAAGGCGCCACCGCTCGGACCCTCTGCAAAATCTACAATTACCATTACTAATGCCAGTCCATTAAATAAACGGAGGCGCTTAGAGAATTATCAGAAATGTTCCATCGCTTACACAGAAAAACTCGAAAATTGCCGCAAGTCAATTAAGAAAACAAACAAGCGGAAAAGAGGGAATCAGAGGTACTTTTTTGTGGAATATCGGAGTTTATTATTCACCATGATTGAGTCATATTTAAGGGAAGGGAATGATATACTCCTTAAATATTATTATTTTGTGTTTGAAACGAAGTTTCGTAATGGTAAGTACTACCATTAAAAAAAACAAGGCTAACTTGATGCTTTGGTCAATGAAAATTTGAAATTAGACAAATGTTAATGCTATGACTATTGCCATGACTTTCCTTAGATTTGAAAGCTTATAGTACCAGATTAAAGACCAAGAGAATTGTGCTGTTTTTGCTATACCCATTTCAATAAATCATCGTCATAAATAATTTTAGTCCCAGAATTTAAAGAATATAGGGGAATTCTCTTTATTTAAGATTCGTATTTTTAAAGCGGGTTTTCATAAGAGAAGTTGTGTAAAATACAATTCCAAAGACAAGCATAGCGGTTCTAGACTGGGTTAATTTTTACCCTTACTTACCTTTACAATACCTTTTTTGTTGCAGAAATGTCATTGTTAAATTTGATGCCTTGTTTTTACTGAAAAAAGGGTTTGCATTTCATAATTTTAGGTTTTACAAGGAAGAACGCTATAGTGGATTACCTCGACTATCAGATACCCCTTACTCAGCTAAGGGGACCTAAGGGATATGGAGATATGCAATCAGCAAAGCGAGATTGTAATGAGGCACATACCTACATTTGGAATCCCAGTTCTCTATCTTTATAGTTTCCGAGATATCCGCGTTCATACTTACGATTTTTTTTTGTTTGTGGGAGATAAAGTGGGCGTTGCAAACTTTTTTTGGGTTAATCGATA